TTATCAGGAATGCTGCTCCCTCCAGCCCCTGCAAATCCAAGGCCTCAGTATAACTAGTTATGTGTTCCAATTTCAGATTCCCTGCAGAGCGACCATCATGGCCTTCTCTGGGTCAGTAGTCCACCTGTGTTAGCTTAGCCAAGGCCCTGAAGAAAGGAGGACATCTAAGAGAGGCTCACCTGATTTGGAGAACTATCCTGTCCTCAAGCAGACAGGTTCCCTAAGCCAGCGGTCCCCAACCTTTTTGGCACTAGGGACTGGTTTCATGGTAGACAATTTTTCCATGGGGGTTGGGGCGATGGTTTGGGGATGAAACTGTTCCACCTCAGATCATCAGGCATGTGCAGCCTGGATCCCTTGCATGCGCAGTTCACAATAGGGTTCGCGCCCCTATGAGAATGTCATGCCGCCGCTGACCTAACAGGAGGCGGAGCTCAGGCAGTAATGCTGAATCCTGCTGAGTGGCTTGGTTCCTAACACGAAGGGATGGGTTTGGAGGAGCAGAAATGATTGTTGGAAGCAAGTGATTGGTATCTGCAGTGCAACTATGCCACTCAAAGGTGCTAGAGAATGACTAGTTTGGATGGAGGAAAATAGTAGCCATATTGGTCATGGTTTTCTTTTCAAGATTTCTTAGGCTCACAACACTTGTGCTTTCTCCTCTGAAATTTACCCCCTACACCCTAATGCTTGATCAGTGTCCCTGCCTGTGTGAGAAACCCTCCTGGACCACTAAAGCCCAGTGTCATTTTGTTCTTCTTTGCCCTTTAAGAGAATGGTACATTCCATTCATTTCACATCTGCTTGGGCTGAGCTCTGTCCTGCCGCCTCACGTTCTGTGCTGTTCTCATCATTGTCTTCTCCTCTGCAGCTTTTGTTCATGCTGTTCCATGTGCCTGGAATGCCCCTCCCCTCATCTTTATATATCCATCAGGGCTCAGCTTATGTGCCACCTTCTCAGGAGTCACTGTATTTTGTAGGGTCTCCTTGATATTTTTATTTCACATTCGGTTATCTTATGTTCTTTTTTCACAAGCTGCATTTACACAAGTTTGTGCTAGTTTACTTGCTTCATGCCTTTCTCCCCCACTGGAATGCAAACCCCTGAAGGCTGTTCTGCCTTGTGCACCTTGAATCTCGGTGCTTGGTATCCAGTAGGAGCCCCGTAAATGTCTCTTTAACGTGCAACTGTCTGACTGTCATGCATCTCCTGGAGTGGTGACATGGCCTCTTCTTCTTGAATGACTGAAATGGAACCCTTTGTTAGGCCATCTGTATCAGGGTGATAAATTCCCTGTTTGTGTAGTCAGCTGCCCTGCCATGAACTTGGCACTCTGTAATGTGCATAATATAGTCATTTAGCTTTTGGGGTTGTTTTTCTGCATCATTTGATCAAGTCATAAACCTAAGTTATGAAGTCTACTCTGGAGACTGAGCCTAAGTAAAACTGATCAATGGGATCTGTCTCGGGAACAAGAAATTTAATAGACTCTGCTTGACAGCCGACTAGAGTCATTGTTTTTCCCTCCTAAATGCAGATCTAATCATCCGGATATGACAAGGGTGGGATTTTTTTGATGAGTAAGTTAGGCAATTTTGTCCCCCTCACTTCTGGATCAGAAGACATGATGGTTTTAGGCTGGTCGCTTTTGTCATTAAGTAATTATAGCTTTGTAATGGGTCTTGGGAGGTATCCTGCATTCCTGTGTTCTGACCACTGTCCCTTGTACTCCCCTGCAGCTCAGCTTTTGAATTTCCTAAAATTAAGGCAGTGAGTGGTATGTATAAAAGCTTGCATAATAGAGACTGGGCTCAAATCCTAGACCCTTCACTGATCAGCTGTATTAACTTGGGCCAGTTACTCAATCCATTAGCCTGCATTCTTCATTTGTAAAATAGGGATAAAAATATATTGTCTTAGCAGGGATCTCATAAGACTTCGTTATGATGATATGTGTTCTTTGCACAAGGCCAAACAGGCAGTAAAGTGTTAAAAAACTTAGGCATCAACATCATTCCCATCATCATCATGATCTCCGTCTCTCCAGGAGGCCCTTCAGAAGTGATGCTGATGTTACCTGGAAGGAGGGGCCAGGAAGGGGAAATGGTGGAACTAATACCCACAAACATTATCTTGGGCAGCATAAGTTTCCAGAAACACGGATTCATTTATTATTCATTGGTTTCAATTTAGCTTTTCTTGTTGTTTCCAAATAATACCTTTAGGGTTGAAGTGTTAGGGACGGGTGTATGTTCATTTTTTTCTCAGTGGTGGGGATAAACATGTGGTTGCAGGACACACAGGCATCTTAAAATTCAGACTTAATTAAATAAAGGAAAAAATAAACCATTTCACGTCATTTTTCTGCTCAGGTCAGATTGATGTCTGTTTTCTTAGGATAATTGTGGCTTGATGCTCTGTTTGGTCCCCTAAATAAGAAAGTTTAGGCACATCATTCCTCAAAGATCGGATATTCCTTGTCTTGAAGTCTTGTTTATTTGATCTTCAGAGTGTTTTAAAAATAGAAACAGACTGAGAAAATCCAGCCATGCTTGAAAAATCTTAAGGTTTCCATGGATCTACATTGCTCAGTCTCAACCAGAGACTAGAACTGAGTGGAAGCTGCTTTCTTTAGACCTGTCATTCTCAAATTGTGGTCCCTTGGACTAACAGCATCAGCATCAACCCAGGGGACTTGTAGGAAACGCCCATTTCTACAACCCATCCCAAGGCTTTTAAGTGAGAAATTCTGGGGTGGTGCCACTGTGTTTATCAGGCCTTTCAGGTGATGCCCACGTGGCTCAAGTTTGAGAAGCATTATTTCAGACAGAGCTCAGGCTCTGTCGTCCCCAGTCTCTGCCCTTCTTTACTGTCTTACACCCAGCTCCCTACACTGAGTTAACAATCGCCTCCCTGATGCCATGAAGTATTTTTTTGTCTAGGGACTGCTAAGGATTTTAGGGTTGGGTTGTAAGTGTGTTGATTTCTCTTCTGCCTCAATACATCTGACACCTTAAGCTCACTTAAGTCCCTTAAGCTCCTCTAAGCCTAAGAAATACATGGTGAGAGGGATGTGTCTCGAAGAGTATGTTTAACATTGTGGAAGACTTTTGACAGCTGTGTTGACTCTCAAGACAAGATCAGGATAATAGACTGCCTAAAAGGAATGTGTTAATTTTATTGCTTAACGTATATCAATTTTTCTTAAGTATGCTAGAAATGGTGGTGTTTTAAGTCAGGTGCACCTAGTTGTGAAATCTTTCCTTTGCTCCTGTAGTTGCATGGCTTGAGGGAACATGTTTAACCTCTTGAGCACAATGTCCTCATCTGTGAAATGGGAATTAGATAACCTATGGCAAAGCGAAATAGGGAGAGTTAAGTGTGGCATGTATAGGAAACTGTTTCTTTGCTATTAAGGCTTATTTTTTTGTATCCACAGTCAAATTTATGAAGCTTTTCTGAAGAAAAACACACCCTTTGGGAAGTCTAGTCAAAAGTGGGAACGTATTTGTTGAGTAATCAATAAGCTGTATATGTTGTCATATATGAATTATATATGCATTATTTATAATACCTCACACATGAATCACACTTTCAGTCAGCATTTTTTTGAATGCTTAAGAATGTGTCAGGCACTGTTCTAGAAGCTGGGACACCAAAGAGAGCTGTTTAGACAAGATCTGTGTTTTTACAGTGCTCCTATTCCGCTTTGGAGATGGAAAGGGAGAGACAATACACAAGTGTTATGTTTATTTTTTTGTTTAGTCATTTAGTTTTTGTAATTTAATGCTTTCATTTAGTTTTTGTAATTTAATGTTTATCATTTAGTTTTTGTAATTTAATGTTTAAAAATAGATAATACATGTACGGCATTTGAAAGTCAAAATAATCTAAAAATGTATATTCAGAGAAGTCTTATTTCTACCATGTTGGTGAATTCTATATTCTGTCCCCACCCTGTCTCCCCACAGGTAACCATATTTACTTGTTTTCGTTTATCCTTCCAGGGTTTCTTTATGCAAATATAATTAAACTATATATGTTCATAATGTCTGCCTTTTCTTAATAAAAGGTAACATACTGTACATGCTGTTCTGCACTTTTGAAGTAGGAGTTCTTAACCAGCATAAGACTTTAAGGGGTTATTGAACATATTCCCTCAAAATTTTAAGTACCATTTTATATGTATGTCATAACTTTCATCAGATTTTCAAAGTCATCTATGACCCCCAAAAAGGGTAAAAAATCATTATTTCATCAGAGTTTACAGATTACCGAATACCTGGATTTGTAACAAACCATGAACTGTGGTAAATGATGTATATGGCATCTAGAAAAAAGTCAGAAAAAGATGCCATATATAGAAAAATGCATCTGAATTAATATGCATTTAATGAATTAAATGTAATTTTATGCCTTTATAGTTGGGAATGCTAGAAAGAGAAAATATTTATGATTAATTCGTTATGAGACTAGCAGTTAAGTACTTACAAGATACCAAATGAAATACATATTAATCCACATTAGAATTTAAAGACAGTATTTTATTTTCATAGGTCTGTTGTATCAAGTATAAATGATGAAATTGTTAATAGTTGTTATAACTTGTGTAAGTGGATAATTTGAGCTGTAGAATATACTTTGTAGAGGATGGGTTTTTTGTTTGTTTGTTTTACTTAAATGAACATTTTCATGACAAGTTGAAGGCTTGATATGGACTTGTCCCTTGGGAGAAAATTGAATCTTACCCTAAACAATGGAAATACTAAAGTAATGCTTGTTGAAAATATGTGCAATATTAAAAAAAAAAGAAGACCTCAGAAGGCAAGGGTATATTTAGAATTTGGTAGAAATGTTGGTATCTGTATTCTAAACATGTGGTTTCAGTGTACAGGTGTTATGTTTAAGTGAATGTAATTCAACAGTATTCTTTCAGATAGTATTCTATGCAGTACCTTAGCAGCAGTTGCTCATTTAATACATGCAGGGAACACATAAGTAGCTGGAAAACAAACTTTTATTAGTGTAAGTAGAATTGTATCATGTGGAATTTGCTTCAGAAGGTATAGAACACAATGGTTAATGTATTATCTTTTCGAAAACATAGAGCTAAGTTGATGGGAAAGAGGGGACAATTTTATTCTGTAATCACTAAAGTGGTTTGGAGAGTTTCCCAGAGATATTGGCAGGATGACTTTATAACATAAACCATGACTTAGAGAGGATAAAATTAACCAGTAATCTTCACTGAAGTATAAGGTGTGAATGAGGTGGGAAACATGGGAAAGGAGATCTTTTCTTGTGGACTGGGGGACTTTCTTGGATGGTTCCCTCAGCACTGTCCACTCCTGTGAGGCATTGTCACATGCATTTATTTATTATGGGGTTCTGAGTTAATGACCCACCTCTATTGCTGCTGCCAGAGCAAAATGTTAGTTCGAGATCAAAACTCTCCATCAAACATTGTTGAATTCCAAATCGCTGAACTGCCCTTCACTAGAAGGGAAAGTGATGTGACCTGTTCTGCCTTTCTCCAGGCACCTATAAAGCCAATAATTCTCCATTCATGTGAAGCTCCTCTTGTCTTTATTGCCTTAACCACTTTTTTCCACTCTTTATTATAGTTCCTTTGTCCGTCCTTGTGTCGTGGTTTTACACGCGTGGCTCAGCCTGAGCTTCAGGTTTTGTTCTCTTTGCTTTTTTATGGCCTTTTTGATGAGTCGCTGGGTAGTTCCAACCCACACTATTGTCATTTGATCGCATACTGTCTCATTGACCTAGAATTTTAGAAGGAAACACAGTCTAGATTAGTGTCTCTTTGAATTGTTTAGCCTTTAAACAAATCCAATCAAAATGAAATAATTTTGTAGTTAGTAAAGAATCCAGGGCTGGGCGCAGTCTCTCACACCTGTAATTCCAGCGCTTTGGGAGGCCAAGGTGGGTAGATCACCTGAGGTCAGAAGTTCGAGACCAGCCTAACATGGTGAAACCCTGTTTCTACTAAAAACACAAAAAATTAGCCAGGCGTGGTGGCGCGTACCTGTAATCTCAGCAAATTAGGAGAATTGCTTGAACCCGGGGGATGGAGGTTGCAGTGAGCTGAGATCGCGCCATTGTACTCCAGCTTGGGCAGTAAGAGCGAAACTCCATCTCCAAAAAAAAAAAAAATTAATTAATCCGGGATGACTACAGTGTTAAGTTATGGTGGCTCACACCTGTGATCCCAGGACTTTGGGAAGCCCAGGTTGGGGAATCACAAGGTCAGGAGTTCAAGACCAGCCTGGCCAACATGGTGAAACCCTGTCTCTACTAAAAATACAAAAATTAGGTGGGTGTGCTAGTGCACGCCTGTAATCTCAGCTACTGGGGAGCCTGAGGCAGGAGAATGGCTTGAAACCAGGAGGTGGAGGTTGCAATGAGCCAAGATTACGCCATTGTACTCCAGCCTGGGTGACGGAGGAAGACTCCATCTCAAAAAAAAAAAAAAAAAAAAAATGTTAAGCTAAAGCCTTTAGGGTGACCTTATTTTAATGAGCAGAGAATGTGTGAGTTGTTCGAGAGTGTTCTTCTAAAGCACCTGCAAAAGTAGCTTTAGGTGTGCTCAGTCAGTCATTCATTCTTCTGCAAGTATTTATTGTGATCCGACTGTGTGTTTAGCCTTGGGTAATAATAATGGCTAATACTTAACACGTAACATGCTCACTATTTGCAAGACACTATTCAAGCACTTCACCTCATGTAATTCTAAGAGTTAGATACTGCAATTATTCTCATTTTGCAAACAAGGAAACAGATGGATAGTTTAGGTAACTTGCCCAGGACTACTTACACAGCAAGTGGCAAAAGTGGGATTTTGTGGTCCGGTTCTAGAATTCATGGTCTTTATCACTATGCTATGCATGATTTCTTTCTTTATTGAACTTGTCATCTAGTCAGATCTGACCCATGCGGTTTTGTTTTCAGGACTCTCAAAGCAAACTTTTCTTCCATGGCAAAAACAAGTCTATTCTAGCTCCATCTGTATTACCACAGAATCCAGATTAGTAGATTTCAAAGGAAGGAGATTTAACCATAGCTACTATACCTCTGCCCTCAACATGTGACTTGTATGTCAACAACGTCTTCCATATTGACTGACATTTACATGTGATATTTGATTGTCGAGTTTAAAGAATCTACCTTGCATGCTTAACTATCTGCTGGTGAAATGTTTGATGCCATGGAATGTGTCAGAGCCAGTGGAGCATTATAAGTTACTTACCTGTGTGCACAGTGGGCAACACTCAAACAGGTGGCCTCTAGCAATACAAAGGTGAGACATTACTTGAGACACCTGAGATGTGGCTGTGAGTGAGTCATCCTGATGAGCGGGGATTGGGGAATGTCAAGAAGGCCAAGTATGGCTCTGTTCTGATGGAATGTTGGTTCAGATGGAATGTTGATGGATTGTGAACCAAACCATTGTTGTACACTGGAGTGTGCAGATAGGAGGTTGCCTTCTGGTGACCCAAGTGGAATTATGTGATAGGGATTCAAGATTTTTAATTCCTCATCAATAACATGCAAAACATGTAAAGATGACTAGGACCCACTGACTTAGTTTTCATTCATTAATTCGTGTTTTTTTTTTCTCATTTTCCTTATTCAAGAATGAATTACTGGGTGTTTATTATATGCCAACACTTTTTGCTACACTCTGTGGGAACAATGGAAAGCCAAATGGACAGGTGGCTCTAAAATTCCTATATAAGATTCTGCCCCTACAGAGTGGGTAGAAGTGGATCTGGTTGGATTTGTCTGGAAGCAACACTGGCATAGCAAGCACTTTGTTTTTGCTTAGTTTGTATGTTTATTAAGGCCACTTTGGCCAAAGTTCTCTCCTAGCCATTTCTGCCATGAAACTTAAAGTTGGGCTGGTGAGAAGTAGGACTTGTCACAAACAACATTAGCTCAATTTCTTTCTAGTGGATCAGTGAAACTCAGATTGGTGTTCCCAAAGAAAACCTGGTTTTCTGAAGTGTATGACAAAGTAAACTAATCTGCAATGGTGGGCTCAAGGAAAACTTCTTGAAGAAGTGACACTTCTGCTCAAATTTGAAAATGGGATACAAAGTCTAGGCCTGACCTGGACCATTATGAGATCACACATAGGGCCTACTGCAGTTATCACAGGCCTTACCTTTGTCCGCATTCCTGGTTGGGAGATGGGTCTGTCAGGGGGGCTTCTCACTGTGATTTGATCTCTTGGATTGAACTATAAAAGCTTTTTAATAAACTAGGCAGAGTCGAATGTTAAAAACCTCCATTAGAAACATTTTATTATTACTCATTTTATCAGCAAGACCTTCAGTTCATCTCAGCTTTTTCAACTCCTTAATCTCCATTCTACTTGTCAGAAGTAGTAAGAAATATTAACCCACCATAGGAATGGTCTCACGCCTCATTTCAAGTGTTAGTAATGCATCAAAACCCTAAGACTTATATTAGCTGCATTTTAGATGTCTAAATTCATTCCCTTACTGGGAAGGAAGGGCATATAGTTAAAAGCAGAAAAGGGCTAATGGCATAATAATTTATAATCATGCTGTTCTGATTAGAAATGAGTGACATTCTTCCAAATTTAGTGCATGTAACTGCCACTGAACACTGATTATAAATTTGCCTAATTTGAACAAAGCCTTTCCTTATTGGTTAAGATAGCTATGTCTATCTTTACTGTTGTTGCAGTAAAATATTTTAAGTGGAATTTCTGGGTCAAAGTGAATGGATGTTTTTAAAGATGTATATATAAACAAAAGCTTGTGTGTGTGTTTGTGAATATCTATGTATTTGTGTATACACAAATGACTTCTAGATTTTCTCTAGTAAACATGTAAAATAAGTATTTTTAATAATAATAACGGTATATGAGTAAGTTCAGGTGAAAAATTTTGGTCCTCTGTGGGGGAGATAAAGGAGGGGAATATGGATGTTAAAATATATCAAGTATGTCTTCTTGGAAGTTGAGAAAGAAGAGGAGAAATTCCTTACAGTGACATGTTGCTCTTCCATGAAATAATGCTTCTGACATTAAGCTAAATGGATGATGTCATTTAGGCCATAAACAAGTAGTAAATTTGGCTAATACAATGGTCCGAACCATTAAATGTAAAGATTTTTTTTGGTCAAGTGTTTGTGGTGTGATGATTTATGCAATCATGGATATATGATTTCATGTTCTGCTTTTTTTGCTTTTTTCATAATCCTTTCACTTGCCAAATGGCTTCTATTTCAGAGCTATGTCATATTCCATCAGAGAGTATAGACTTGCACTGTTGGACAGGCAGTTTGTTCATCCCTTTTTGACACTAAGAATATGGGTACGAAGCCCATCTGTGCATAAATGTTCCTTTGCTGAGTTGGATTTTCTTAGGTTCTTAGATTCCCACATGTAGACTCATTACCCATTGGGTTTAAGTGTGAAAATTGATAAAACTTTAATATATATTGTGAGAATTTCCCCTCAAACTCTTTGTGGTAAATTTTAGTGCCTTTAGCATTATCCGAGAGTGCTTCTGCCATTGTATTCTTGCCACTGGTAGCTTTTTTTTTTTTTTTTTTTAATTATACTTTAAGTTCTAGGGTACATGTGCACAACATGCAGGTTTGTTACATATGTATACCTGTGCCATGTTGGTGTGCTGCACCCATCAACTCGTCAGCACCCATCAACTCGTCATTTACATCAGATATAACTCCCAATGCCATCCCTCCCCCCTCCCCCCTCCCCATAATAGGCCCCGGTGTGTGATGTTCCCCTTCCCGAGTCCAAGTGATCTCATTGTTCAGTTCCCACCTATGAGTGAGAACATGCAGTGTTTGGTTTTCTGTTCTTGTGATAGTTTGCTGAGAATGATGGTTTCCAGCTGCCTCCATGTCCCTACAAAGGACACGAACTCATCCTTTTTTATGGCTGCATAGTATTCCATGGTGTATATGTGCCACATTTTCTTAATCCAGTCCGTCACTGATGGACATTTGGGTTGATTCCAAGTCTTTGCTATTTTGAATAGTGCCGCAATAAACATACGTGTGCATGTGCCTTTATAGCAGCATGATTTATATTCCTTTGGGTATATACCCAGTAATGGGATGGCTGGGTCGTATGGTATTTCTAGTTCTAGATCCTTGAGGAATCGCCATACTGTTTTCCATAATGGTTGAACTAGTTTACAGTCCCACCAACAGTGTAAAAGTGTTCCTATTTCTTCACATCCTCTCCAGCACCTGTTGTTTCCTGACTTTTTAATGATTGCCATTCTAACTGGTATGAGATGGTATCTCATTGTGGTTTTGATTTGCATTTCTCTGATGGCCGGTGATGATGAGCATTTTTTCATGTGTCTGTTGGCTGTACGCATGTCTTCTTTTGAGAAATGTCTGTTCATATCCTTTGCCCACTTTTTGATGGGGTTGTTTTTTTCTTGTAAATTTGTTTGAGTTCTTTGTAGGTTCTGGCTATTAGCCCCTTGTCAGATGAGTAGATTGCAAAAATTTTCTCCCATTCTGTAGATTGCCTGTTCACTCTGATGGTAGTTTCTTTTGCTGTGCAGAAGCTCTTTAGTTTAATTAGATCCCATTTGTCAATTTTGGCTTTTGTTGCCATTGCAAAATTGGTGTTTTAGACATGAAGTCCTTGCCCATGCCTATGTCCTGAATGGTATTACCTAGGTTTTCTTCTAGGGTTTTTATGGTATTAAGTCTAACATTTAAGTCTCTAATCCATCTTGAATTAATTTTCGTATAAGGAGTAAGGAAAAGATCTAGTTTCAGCTTTCTACTTATGGCTAGCCAATTATCCCAGCACCATTTATTAAATAGGGAATCCTTTCCCCATTTCTTGTTTTTCTCAGGTTTGTCAAAAATCAGATGGCTGTAGATGTGTGGTATTATTTCTGAGGACTCTGTTCTGTTCCATTGGTCTGTATCTCTGTTTTGGTACCAGTACCATGCTGTTTTGGTTACTGTAGCCTTGTAGTATAGTTTGAAGTCAGGTAGCGTGATGCCTCCAACTTTGTTCTTTTGATTTAGGATTGTCTTGGCAATGCGGAGTCTTTTTTGGTTCCGTATGAACTTTAAAGCAGTTTTTTCCAATTCTGTGAAGAAAGTCATTGGTAGCTTGCACTGGTAGCTTTTTATAGATCTAGTTGATACAGATTTCAAACTAAAATTCCAGGTAAAATCAAGGTGCTACCATTTGGGGTTGGCTTTGGGTATTCATTTAAGCCCTCTCAACTTTACTTTCTTCATCTGTTAAATGGGAGATGGAGGAGGGGAGGGAATGGTGTATGAGGATGATCATGATGATACCACCAGTATCGATGGTGATACTTCATGGGACTATGCAAAGAAAATCTATGTTATGTCAGTTGGTCAACTTTAAAGAACATTTGTAGGGTAATGATTCTCATAGCTCACCTTTATTTAAACCTGCAAGTTCTTTGAGACATGGTGTTATCTGTACTGTGTACATTTTACTGAAAAGATGATGTCATGTATGATTAAAACTAAGAGCACAAACTTGAGTCTCAGATTCACCAGAATTTGTACTCCCACTCCACGTGAGTTAAGTCCTGCATGCATCAGTTTTCACATCCTTATCGTGGGAATGTAGTACTATATTTGACACAGAATGGGGTGAGGAGTAAAATGAAACACTACAGGCCAACTGCCTGGCTCAATGAATGGTTCATTAATGATAGTAATGGTGACAGCAATAGTGGCTACAGGTGTGCACATTACAGTGTGCTCTCCACTGGGGCAGAGAACCTTGTCCCTCAACCATGTTCCAAGGTACACTGGATGCAGAGCTCAGTAAATGTAAGGCCTGGGGTAGAGGGAACCTTGAGTGAATATTTGCATCAATGAATGTATAATAGGAGTAGTATAACAAATAATTTGTGAATGAATTAATTTTTCTTCTTGGGGAATTTTAATTAAAGACATGAAATAATAAATTTTTTGGGGTACACAGTAGTCCAGTACAGAATCGTATGATACACGCTACCCTTCTCAGCAAAAAGTATTAAAGAAGTTGGGGAAGAGGAAGTCTTCTTCAAGGGCAAGATGGTTAGTAGATGGTGAGCCAGGAGTAAAGTGAGGAGGTGAGGTGAGTCTGGGAGTTGGAACTGGCACCTTTTAGAAAGTTTTTTCCACAAATAACCTGCAGACTCGGTCACCCTCAGTCCCTGCATCTTGCATGGACCCTGGTGTGCACATCTGGTCATTGGGACTAAAACATTTGGCATCTATCAGCTGCATATGTCCAACCTGGGAAGCGAATCCCCCAGCCCTCAAGACATGATAGGGGAGGGGAGATACAGGGATAATGATTTTCACCTTGGAAAGCTGCATTGGGTAGATGGTATACACCCATGTCCTTTCTCAA